GCAAGATATCTATCTGATGCTGGGCATCATGTGTCTCCAAATAGATTTATCTTAATGAAATCAGTTTAGACATAGGTCATAATTGCAGTATTTAACTACACATGTCTCGTTTTGCTTTGAATATTTAAAACTTGATTTCAATCATTTAAACGTAGGAAAGATTTACCTACTTATATTTGAAATTGCAGTAAAGAATGTTGATAGTGGCCGATCCAGTCCTCTACAATCCAGGGATTCGGATGTCTTGGTCAGAAAAGTGTGCTTCATTTTCATATTTATGGAAAATTTGTGCTGGGTTTAACTTCCTAACGGCATACGATTCTGCTAACAGTTTATAGTAGGAGTTTATACAAATACATTCGTTGTGTCCATAGAAGATGAATTATGTGCTTTTTTCAGAGAGGATCCTGGAAATCAGTAGAACTTTTTTTCTGGATGTAAGTCACGTAATTCAAAATAGTCTGAACTAAACCTAATACGTATATTTTAGAGAATCTTATGAGTAATAGAATGTTTGTTCACAGTATTAACTAGTTACTTAAGCATCAGTCCATTGAAATCTGATCAGGAAAAAAATAGGCATATTCAAGTAAAATCAGTTAGTGTTATTGCTCGATCTGAGTCACTGTCTGTAGATTTGTAGTGGCATCGGGCCCTAACCACACAGTCCACAAAGCTGAACGCGAGACAACTGGGAAAACAGATATTCAATATTTAACGCGGAGAAAAACCCGACGATGAGGTAGGCGGGAAGAATTATTTCAATTAATTAGAATTGATCAAATGGTATGTCTCGGCCTTGCGGGCGTGGTCCCTGTCGAATGGTACCTTATATCTTTTATTCATATCAAATATATTGTTCTATCTCTAGCCTAAGCTTGTTCAATATCATGTATTAGTGATTGTTACGATGCAGTGAGTTGGTGTAGACGATGATGTGATTTAAACGTAAGATCTTATAGACTAGGCAGTTACATCATGACACATCTACGATTTTAGGATTAGGTCTACTATTAGGGCAGCACTAATATCATAGTAGACCATAACTCTACAGACTCATCTTTCAAGAGACTGCGTATGGCCACAATTATTTATTGTGTCCATGAGTTGACTAATATTGTGTATTTTGGATTGATATGTGAGTTTCTGCTGTTTTTTTTATTAAGATCAGTACTTCAAGTAGTAAAGATTGAAAACAATTTACGTGTGCATTGGATTTCACTCCAGTTTGAAGAGACGGTTGAATTTACATAACCGTGAATAAACCTTCCTCTACTCACTTACGCCTGTTACTCCTAATGGAACATAGGCCGCCGACCAGCATTCTCCAGCCCACTCTGTCCTGGGCCTTCTTTTCTAGATCCATCCAATTGTTGTCCATTTTACTCATGGCTGTCTCCATTTCCCTGCATAATGTGTTCTTTGATGTTCCTCTTCTCCTTTGGCCTCAAGAATTCCACATGAGAGCTTGCTTTGTGACTCGGTTGGGTGCTTTCCTCAATGAGTGTCCTATCCACTTCCATCGCTTCTTCTTGATTTCTTCCTCAACTGGGATCTAGTTTGTTATCTCCCACAGTAGGCTGTTGTTGATAGTGCCTGGCAAATGGATCCGAATTATTTTGCTTAGGCAACTGATAATAAACATGTAGCGCGGCGTCGAGTCGCGGTTGACTATGGACACCGCTACCAATGAAACGCGTGCCAAGATATCCATAAAATCCCTCGGAAGCCAAATTTCAGAAGGCAGTTAAAGACCAAGTCGAGATTTATTTGCTGGCGATCTCGTGGTATCGAAAGAATACCGAGATCGTGCCAGCATGCAAGCTTGGTTACAGAGCGTAACCGAATTCGCAATTGAAGTGTAAGAATAATGGGTGCCTTTTAGCACAGTTAAACAAAAGTACATTAAAACATTCACTGGTAAAATTGGTTATAATAATAATTGCTTTCATTAAACCAATTGTGTTCTCGTGATAAATGTGAGTCACTTGAATTTTCTGGATGATGGCTTTCATATTTCTCCAAGTTTCCGCCCCATACAGTAGAACTGTCTCGACATTTGTTTCGAAAATCCTAACCTTGGTGTAGGTTAACAATTGTTTTGAGTTCCAGATGTTCCTCAGTTGTAAATATGCTGCTCTTGCTTTACCGATCCGTGCCTTCACGTCTGCATCAGATCCACCGTGTTCATCAACGATGCTACCCCGATATGTAAAGGTTTTTGCACCTTCCAAATGAAGTGCGATTCGATTATTGCATGCTGTGTTGTATCGGAGAGTCTTGCTTTTCTCTTTGTGTTTGTTGAGACCTACTGCTGCTACAATGGTCGTCTTCTCCTGCATTTGTTGTTGCGTTTGGGATAGAAGGGCCAGATCATCTGTGAAGTATAGATCATCCAACTGCATCCTAGATGTCCAATGTATCCCGTGTTTCCCTTCAGATGTTGACGTCTTCATGATCCAGTCGATCACCAGGAGAAAGAGAAAGGGTGAGAGTAAGCAACCTTGTCTGACACCGGTCTGTACTTAGAACGAGTTTGTCAACTGTCCTCCATGCACGATTTTTCATTTAAATCCATCATGGGAATTCTGTATGACATTGACGATCTTCTGAGGTACGCCGTAGTGTCGAAGAAGCTTCCATAGTGTTGTTCTGTCCACGCTATCAAATGCCTTTTCGTAGTCAATGAATTTGATGTAGGGTGATGAATCCCATTCAATTGATTGTTCCACAATGATCCGTAGAGTTACGTTTTGGTCTGTACACGATCGACCCTTACGGAATCCTGCCTGTTGGTCACGAAGTTGGGCGTCTACGGAGTCTTGTTGAAGACTTTTTCCGGTATTGAGAGAAGAGTGATGCCCCTGTAGTTATCACACCTGCTGAGATCGCCTTTCTTTGGTATTCTGACCAGAAGTCTTTCTTTCCGGTCTCTTGGTACTTGTTCCTCATCCCAAATCTTATTGAAGCGAATGTGGAGTATCATTGCAGTCACTGCTACGTTTGCTTTCAAATCCCCTGTTGGAATGTTGTCTGGTTCTGCCGCTTTGCCGCTCTTGATTTGTCTGATGGCCATGCTGATTTCTTCAATTGTTGATGGGCCAACATCGTTTGAGAGGTCCGTGATTGCTGCTTCGATGTTGGATGGGTTCAGTGGAGGTGGTCGATTCAAAGCTCTTTGAAGTGTTCTACCCACCTGTTTCATTGTTCTTCAGTGTTGGCGATTACCTTGTCTTCCTTGCTTTTCACTGATCGTTCTGGTTTACGGTGGTTTCCAGACAGTATCTTTGTTGTGTCATACAGTTCTCTCATGTTTCTTTCACTTGCAGCCTTTTCTGCCGTCATTGCTAAATCTTCCACATATTTACGTTTGTCAGTTCTGATGCTCCTCTTCATTTTTTCGTTTACTTCTGTGTATTCAGCTTGTGCCTTGGATTTCTCTGCTCTTGTTCGACTGGTATTGATTGCTGCTTTCTTGTTCTTTCTTTCTTGAATCTTATCCAGTGTATCAACAGTGATCCATTCCTTGTGATAGTGATTCTTGTGGCCCAGAATCTCATGGCATGTTGAAGAGATTGCCTCTTCTATCCCTTCCCTGTTGCTCTGTTATGTAGTTCCTTTTCCACTGAGTATATCATGAGGGGCCTGGAACTTATTGCTGAGGCCTATCTTGAATTTGTTGAGTTTGTCAGTATCCCGAAGAAAAGCCGTAATAAAGTTTTGTGTTGTTGTCCACCACGTTGTCTAGTGCTTCTTGAGTTTCAATTTCATCTTGGCGACTAGCGAGTATTGATCTGACGCTATATCAGCTCCTCTCTTGGTTCTCACATCCTCCATCGTCCTCCTGAACTTTTTATTGATGTAGATATGGTCGATTTGGTTTTGTGTAGTGTGATTCGTGAAGTCCATGTGGCTATGTGAATGCGTTTATGTGGGAATATAGTGCCGCTAATGATCAGTTTATTGAAAACACATAGGTTTGCAAATCCCTCTTGTTCCTTTCTCCCAGTCCGTATCGTCACATGATGTCTTCATATTCAGTGTTGTCCATTCCAACCTTGGCATTGAAATCTCCCATCAGAATGGTCAGGTCCTTTGTTGGGCATTTCTCGACGATTGACTGCAGCCTATCGTAAAATTTATCATTAGCGTCTTCATTGTAATCGTTAGTAGGCACATGGCTTTGGATGACGTTCACTGAAACGCAGTCTGTCTTTTCTTTGAAGGAGGGTTTGTTGATCCATGAGAACCACATCCTATAAGTGCATTTTGTGCTTGTCTGGACAGCATCATGCAACTGATTGTGTATGTGTGGCATTTTTTTCATGACCAGAGTATGACAGAAGCTCCCATGAAGCTACTCGTTGTTGTTCAAGTTGCGTCCAATGTATTTCACTGATCCCAAGCAACTGCAGGTTGTATCTCCTCATTTCTGCGGCAATTTGGAAGACTCTTCCTGTCTCTTACGATGTACGAGTATTCCATGTACCTAAATAAATGGTTGTTCTGGTTGTTAGAAGGGCATCAGGCTCGCGGCTTTCGAAGGAACTCGGCTCTTATCATGAGGCATCGTAACTCTTGTAAATGAAAACCTTCTGACTCCCAGGGCAGAGTTTGAGTGGTTTGAATAATTTTTTCTGGTTAGCGTTTTTTGACGAGTTAGTTTTCTACGAGGTGGGGTCGCTAACTTTATCTCGAACCCTGCTCAGTTATTCGGGCTTCCGACTGGCTGAAGCCACAGAGGGGCTCCAGGCGGTGTCTGAATAAACCTTACTTGTTGAATATTGTTTCGTATATATTGTGAGGTTTCACATTAACACCCTTTGAATCGACAACGCTCCTTATATCCATTCAAAATTAAAAGTAGCTGCATCATAAAGTTAATTAACATCCCGTGATAGAACACAATGAACTCCCCTCAGATGCGTTCAGATATTTCACTAGATGAAATTTTAGTCGACCATTTTGGGAAGCTGACACGTTATAAGCAACTGTAGTTAATGAAAAATGGGCCTGGTACGAATCTCCGATGTCAGGACGAAAGTTCACTTCGTTGTCAGTCATCTGAAAGGTAATGTCCATGATTTTGTACAAACAAAACATATTTGAGATGGGATTTTATCCAAGTGTACATTTTATCCACTATGAACGAAGTTATGCTCCACCGCATTTTTCAAAATGTGTCTTGAACTTAGAAAATGAACGCCATGATAACCATATATCTGAAACATTATTACACGTCACGTCATAACTATAAGATAGTCTTTTTCGTTAAAAGCCCGCCCCCTAGTTCCTGAAGATGAAGTTAAGTAGAACGGATGTAGTCACGTGTTGGATTCAGGAAAAGACTGTCACTCGATCAGCCAAATAGTTTTATTACTGTATTCGGTCTTTATAGGGATGAGGATTCGTAAAATGCAGGCAATGATGAATAATTTGATGTTAATCAACCGTACGTCGTCAGTATATACCGTGTAACTTGCATTCGCATTTCGATATCAGTCTTTTAACGGGGTAAACAACCTCAGTGTATGAAGAATATATTGTCAGAACAGCTGTTTACTCAGCTTTGTCTTTCCAAATATTGATGTATACCACTTAGACTGACAGGTTCAGTAAACCTCGGAGGTGCTCATCAGTTATGTATTTCATGGTACTGACTTTTTAAACATACACTGATTATATTTCAACTGGAATTTCAGACGAAGGAAAGCAGCTTAGATGTCTTAACTTAGCATTCATAAGACCACGGCAACACGACATTACTAGTAACATACAGATTTACGAAAACCAGGACCCTTGATTAGATCTGTGACCAATAATTTATATTTTAGTTGAACTTTCTCAAGATTTATGATTGACATTTGCGATCAAACAGTCATAACTGATTGTAACGTTTATGGAAGCTCTTTCGTGGTCCATCCACAATAATGGTTTATCATTTACGTTAAAGACAGTTGTATACTAACGTCTTGTCCCATATTGCAATTAAGCGTTAAATAAATTCACAAAATAAATAGTTCTATAAGTCTTCGACATTGGATGCTGACCACATTAGTTTTAATGAACTCACCTAGCCAAGGGCACAAGGCCATGGATACGCTGCAGATCACGAGTGGGGACGCTTTGCTCAAAATCCCCCGCAATCGCTAGCCAGTCTAGATCAGTCAAACTTCGATATATTGATGGCCAATCTAATGTATCTTCTAACCTCCCCGCTTCTATCATTTGATTTTACTTGGCGGGTATGATTTATAGTAGAATGTGTCACTGGTTAAAGCGTTGTCAAACTCCGAACACCTGTGGCATCGCCTATCCCAAACATAAGGCAAGGTGACTAGAGAATATACGGTTGCACCCTGTCCAGCAACACCATTTTTCAAAACTTTTTATACGAAGATCTTAAGGGCAATTTAATCAAATGTCAGAAATGAAGGAACGTGAATTTATATTTCAACAATTGTTGATGCATTAAATTTTACGAGATTTCAGTTGACTGCTTATTATAAGAGATGTGCAGTATGACGCACATAAATGTGGTCTCGTGCGAACGCAAAATCGAGTGGTTATCATCAGGGATTGCCCGAAGTGTCTGCGTTTGGTCAAAAAGTATTGCATGTGCTAGGTGATTAAGTAAGAAACTAGTATTAGATAGTTTAATTCGCAGCGTGTGTAGAGTCATAACATGACAGACTTTAAGGATTTATTCCCGCATAAATTATGTTAGGTTTCATCAGGCGGCCCAATTGGTAAATACTGACAATTGTTCGGAATACTTCAGGAATCCGAATGTCTGATGTTCTGTAAGGTACTTGTGATGGTAGATTGTTTTTAATAATACACTAACAGATTGATTCATTACGGTGATGGTTTCTACCGTGAATCGATATCAACCATCAAGCAAGAATAAATTTTTAAAAATGAGTTTGGAAATGTATTAAATATTAGGTTATTTATGTATCGTATCAGTTTCATGATTGTATGTGCTCGGATTTGTGGTTTGTTGTAGGAATAAAGTCAAACATAGGAGACCTTCGGGGTTATGCCAATTAGGTTTTAAAACTTGGATAAAAAATAGGCGTGTCGATGTGCATTTAGGCGAAAGGTAGACAGTTAGGCGTATATGTAGGCAAAAAGAACACAATTCAGTGAAAAAGCGACAAAAAGGGGAAAATCCACATTATTCCTCCCGGATAGGCGAAAAAGGCGACATTTTGGAGTGTTTTCCTCTTTATTTTCCAACACATTTCCCCCTCATTTCCTTTTTTAGCCTTTATTTCCCCTTCATTTGTTGCTTGGGCGGATGTGGCGTTCGAAGTGATTTGTGGTTCAGCTGTTACTGTAGTTGGATTAATTAAGCAACTGATTTGAATGATTTTCGAAATTTTCAGAATTTGAGCATGGTTCAAAATAAATTAGGTTGCGTTCTGCAACTTAGGATTGAAGTTGCTCATTCGTTTACCTTACGCTCCAATAGCACGCTCGTTGTTTGACCTTCAAGGGCGTAACTACCTGCATTTTGAACTGTATCTAAATCCGACCTTAGGCGCGGTAGTCGAAATGATCATCTTAGTGCCATAATCCGGTTAGTTCATCCAGTTGTTACTGAAAATATGTATTGTTAACATACTTTACGGATTTGTAACCGGAACACTTAAATTCCTTCGTTTTTTTCAAAGCAAAATGTATTATTCGATATAGTGTCATAAAAATCCTGAAACCCGAACAAACAATAAAAAGGGGAAATGCAAACAGAGGGAAAATAAAGGAGAAAATGAGTTGGGAAATTTATGAGTAATAATAGGGAAACGCGATGAAATGTCTGCCTTTTCGCATATCTGGGGAAATAATGTGGATTTTCTTCTTTATGTCACTCTGTTTTAAATGTCGCTGCATTGTCTACTTTTAGCCTAAATGCACGCAAAATTGTCTACTTAACTTTCGATTCTTCAATGTTTCCGTATTTATTTGAGACATGTTAAACAGTACATTTATTTACACAAAACTGGTGTGTTGTACACGTTACCCTGGTTCGGGGTTTATCCTTTAGTTATTAATTTGTATAAGTCATCTAATTTACTGGTTTAACATTGTCTTAAAAACTTTCTAAAATGATGTTCATCAACTACTGGATTTTAATGATAATAGGTCCATCAGCCTAATTAGGCTGAAAAATATACCGCCCAATGTTTTAATAAGATTCGTGTCCTTTACTTGGTAACAATCATATTTCGTGATTGTAGTTCTCTCTGAACGATGTTTGCTAAATGCGAAACAACTCAACCTAAGTATTTATATTCTTTTGTAGTTTAAGCATATATTACTTTCCCAGTTTTCCCTCTTGTATCGGTTGAGTGACAGTATGGGCAACATATATATATGTAAGCGTATACGCTTAGTCTATTTCCCTACTTGCAGTACGAAAGTAAATTTAGAAACAATCTTGCATTATTTTCCTGGAAAAAACTTTTCAGTCAGTGCATTGAAGATTTGAAAAGCCAAACGTTTGCTGCAAATATTGATCTGAAATGTTCTAGGACAAAATTTCACTCATTTTACTATTAAGGATCATAGAACTTTTTGTTCGCATTCTAAGATACAAGTTGTTGCACCATACATATTTGCCATAAGTCACGATTATTAAGGTCTCAGCATTATTCATGATAAGAATAGTGATAATTCTACACTGTCATTTGGCGACTTTATATTTCATAACCTTAAAGTTCTGCAATATAATCTATAAATAATTGTAAAACCTTACCAACAATGCTGTGTCTGTATGAGTCAGTCAGTGCACTGAGTTTTAGTAACAGCATTTGCTTACTTTTACTCCATGTAATGTAACCACATATAAAGTGCGGGAAAAAATCAGCCAATCAAAAATCCTTTACTTTGACGAATGAAGTTCGGCTAAAGCTACTTTAGGTTTCGGTACCCAGATGAGAAATAGTTTAAATAATAACATGAAAATAAATGTCACTTTTGCAGTGCACATATAGTTGAAACAGCTGTCATATGAAAAACTTCAACTAATGTATACTAATTAGAATAGTTTGTCGGAGGCATCGTAGTTTAATGTTGAGTTTCCAACACATGTCCTATTTCACAAGTACCTATTTGGTAATATTTGAGTTAGTTTGTTTTTATTTCTATCTTTCTGTGCTTCCATTCCGCTCAGGTTCGTAGTAATCTAAAAGAAAATAAAGTATGGAAAACCAAGCCTTTATATATGGGTATTGTTACCATAGGGATATTTGGTATTCATCACGTGTTATAATGGGGGAAAGTTTGGATATTTGAAGTAAGGCGCTGCAATTCCGGAATGAAATTAGCCTTTAAGTCTGTTAAAATTAGATTCGTTTCTTTTTTGTAGTGTTAGTGTTTGTACTCACGGATAATCAATAATAAAACTTACACAGTATTCCCATGAATACATTTAGGTAAAGTCATATAAGACGAACTTGGTGTACAGAAATCTCGTAGTAGAACGATTTTCTTGTACCTGCTTACTGATTTCATTAAAATATAATGCACAGTTGGCATTTCTATACTAGCAGTTATAATGTTTTGTGTAATATGTGAGGATTAGTGAGTTTCTGTTTCACTAGTTAATTTAAGGCTTTAACCTGATGAGTGGTAGTTTAGTTATTATTATTATTCATATCTCAGGTAGTTTTTAACTTGAATAAATGCATCTTAGACGATTAGCATTGTACTATCTTAGATACATAGGTGTAAAAACCTAATTTTCTACCTTTGATCATCCAATGGTAATTTTACCGTGATATCCTGTTTCTTAAAATGGATTGGTTGTATACTCCAACCTTTCTACAGTGAAATATTTTATTTCTTTAGTAATATCAGTCATGTGGACAATAAATTAATATTTGCTTCTATTTATTTTCCAGATACTGTAAGCATTTTATGCTGCATTTATTCCCGAATTATTTTCATCTTAAATCCTGCACTGTATATTCGCACTATGGTTAGTGTACATCATGGTTTTGCATTACGAATTGTGTAGATAAATTTTATGTTATTGTTTAGTCGTCAAGGTAAAGTGCGACTTCAAAAATGGTATAGCTCTTATACGGAGAAAGAAAAGAAAAAGTATTTACGCGAAATTATTTCTCTAGTCTTTGCGAGGAAACCAAAAATGTGCTCGTTTCTAGAATGGCAAGACCTTAAGATTGTGTACAGAAGGTGTGTTTGTAATTTGTTGCAACTACACTTTCTTTAACAGATATGCTAGTCTCTATTTTGTGTGCGCTATTGATCAGACAGATAATGAATTGATTACATTGGAGATTATTCATCGTTACGTGGAGATTCTGGATAAATATTTTGGAAATGTAATTCGTATTTAACAAAGTTGTATTTTTAAGGTCTGTGAATTGGACATAATCTTCCACTTTGAAAAAGCTTACTTTGTTTTGGATGAATATTTACTAGCTGGTGAAGTACAAGAGACAGGGGCAAAAGAAATTCTTTCTGTGATAGATGCACAAGATATAATTCAAGAGGTATGTTTTTTCTATTAGTCTCATTTGATTTTCTTTCAGGATGAAGTCCCACAAAAACTTTTCGAAGACCAAAGTCTCAATTGACAGTAGTACTTTATTTGGGTCGCTAGATTATTTAAGTCTTACGTTTACCTCCCTCCATGGCATTGTCAGATGTTCTTGAAAATAAACTTTACTTTTCTACTGCCTTGATATTAATATTGTCTTTCTTTAAAATATGAAAGTTGTCGTTATCTACGATTAACTCTATGCAAAGATATAGGGTAAGATGACAAGTAACCGAATAGATTCAGTGGTGTGTAGAAATAACTATGCATATAGTTTTTTCTATCATTTTGGAAAGAACAAGAACAAAAATTTTAAAGAAGATAACACGAATTTATCTTATTTCGTTCAGTTCTCGTTAGTTGCCTTCAACCTATAGTGTTTAAAAGTAAAAATTACAAAGTGGGTTTAAATTATGTACATGAAAGTGTTTATTTAGAGGTTGCTGTGATCACACATTCATATAATGTAGCAACGATATATATAAACTTAACAAACTAAATAAAATATTATAAATGTATATCTTATGTGGAAGAATATTTTATAACATTGTTAGTAACACAAGATCAAAGGGTTAGAAACAGTTAGTTACATAACAAATGAACACCGATAATAAGGATAAATTAAGCGAAGTTCATTTGCTCGCCTCCGTGTCTATAAATTTACTTGCACCTTTCAAACGAGCTACATTAACCGTACAAGAAGGAGAGCATATCTTAGATTGTGTAGACACGCTCCCAAACCCCTTCGGACAAGATAAAGTACTACTTTAAATAACTCGAACACTAAATACCTTTTGGACACAGGACATCAAGTCAATACCTTAAAATCCTTCAAGGATATTAATAAACAACCAAACTCCAGTCATTTGAAGTTCACTAAAACTATCTTTATCAGACGTCAGAGAGATGGTTTCTAATCTTTCTTTGCCCTGGTGACAAACATGTTTTCCATTACGTCATTAAAGGCTGTCCAACTTTTTTAAATTAGTTGCATCAGTATGCCTGTATTGTGAATGTCTTCTAAATTGTTAGCCTTATTTTAGCAAGCAGAACTTTGTTGATTTTATCCTTATTATCAGCATCTATCTATTGCGTAACCACTTGTTTCTAGCCTTTTCATCTCAGGTTACTATCAATCTTGTAAAATATTCTTTCATATAAGATGGTGGTGAATTTTTGACTAAGGAATTGACGACGTTGTTTACAAAGGTTTGGGAACTAGAGAGTGTACCAACGTCATGGAATGAGTCGATAGTTGTCCCTATCCTTAAAAAGGGTTCACGTCGTTCTTGTAACAACTATCGGGGGATAAGTTTACTTCCGATTGCGTCCAAGCTATTGGCTTCCGTCATTCTTCGTAGGTTGTTCAAAACCCGAGAAAGATTGACTCGCGAGGAGCAGGCTGGGTTTCGTTCTGGTCGAGGATGTATTGATCATATCTTCACCCTCCGCCAAATGTTAGAACACCGCCATACTTTTCAAAGGCCAACAATCGTAGTGTTTCTTGACATCAGGGCTGCCTTTGATTCGTTGTATAGGAGTGTTCTCTGGGATTGTCTATTGAAGAAGGGTGTGCCTGAGAAGTTTATTAACATCATAAAAGCCCTGTATAAAAACACCTCAGGCAGAGTGAGGGCATACAACCACCTCTCTCCATTGTTCCATTCGAGCAGTGGGGTTAGGCAGGGTTGCCCAATCTCACCATTCCTCTTCAACTTTGCCATCGATGACATTCTGGAAACAGCTCTGATGAATGTAAGTAATGGTGGTGTGGATCTGTTGCCTGGAGAAAGACTTCTCGACCTTGAGTATGCGGACGATATTGTCTTACTGTGCGATAATGTCCAAGGCATGCAATCCGCACTTAATCAGTTGGCAATCAATGTCCGTAGGTATGGTATGTGCTTTGAACCTTCGAAGTGCAAAGTACTTCGACAAGACTGGCAGGATTCTAATCCTGTACTCACCCTGGACGGTGTGCAGATAGACGTAGTTGAGAAGTTCGTGTATCTGGGTAGCTGCATAAGTGCTGGTGGGGGTGTGAGTGATGAGATCAATGCACGAATAGTGAAAGCCAGAGCGGCTTATGCCAATCTGGGCCACCTTTGGCGCCTTCGTGATGTTAGTCTGGCTGTAAAAGGTCGGATCTACAACGCGTCGGTGAGAGCAGTTTTGCTCAATGCTTGTGAAACCTAGCCTCTCCGAGTTGAGGACGTTAGACGACTCTCTGTGTTTGATCATCGTTGTCTGCGAAGGATTGCTGACATCCAGTGGCAACACCATGTTAGTAATGCAGAGGTTCGGCATGGTGTGTTCGACCACAGAGACGATAATGCGATTGGTGTCACCATCTTAAAACATTGACTTCGGTGGCTTGGACATGTTCTACGAATGTCGTCCCAGAGAATTCCACGTCGTGCATTATTTGCCGACTCTGGGACTGGTTGAAAAAAGCGGAGAGGTGGTCAGTATATGACATGGTGTCGTGGCATGAAAGAAAGCTGCAAAGGACTGGCTTGTGTTGGTCCTTCACGACTCCCTGGCTGGGGTCCGAGAGATGGTGCTACACAGTGGCTAGAGACGTTATCAGATATGGCTCAGAATAGAAGCCAGTGGCGATCGTGCTGTAACCTTCTTTTACTTTCTTCATAAAAAGTGGTTGTGTCTCCTTTACCTGAAAGATTTCTTCTGATTGTACCTCTTCGTCATTACTCTCTTGTTCTTTTGGGTTCCTTAGTTTTTTTTCTTTCTACTTCTCTTCGAATTCTCATTGTTTTGTGTGGCACATATATATTGGCGCTCTCTTGTACCAATATTTATGGGTTCAAATAAATAAATAAATAAAAATGTAAGATATATATTTACAATATCCTTGTCTCTTAATTTTTTTCATATTATTGCTATACTGTATTGATTTTGGTCATAGCAACCTTTAAATATTGCAGGATGCATGTAGCTGGCGAGAACGAAACGAAACAAAATGGATCCATGCTATTCTGATATAACTATTATATATATACCTTTGAGAAACCAGACTATATGAGATACGAAACCAATTGTCCTTCCGTCTGGTGGATGTCGATAATTCTGTTATTTTCATCTTTTGATGGATCCTGGTTTTGTGTGAAGACGCTGACAGAATGCAGAGTCTTCTAATCACTCTAATCAACAATGCAAGCATGTTCGGGACGCGATTCTCCCCCTCGAAATGCAAAATCTTGCTTCAGGATTGGGTTACATCGACACCCGAACTAATGATAGGGAGTGAAGTAATTGAGCGTGTCGACCGCTTCACTTATCTTGGAAGTCTCATAAGCCCTTATGGTCTGGTGTGTGACGAAATCTCAGCACGGATACAGAAGGCTCGACTAGCTTTTACCAACTTGCGTCATTTATGGCGTAGGAGAGATATCCGTCTATCAACCAAAGTACGTGTTTACTGCGCAGCAGTTGGTTCCGTCCTACTTTATGGCAGTGAAACATGGCCTGTAAGAGTAGAGGATATTCCTAGGCTACTAGTATTCGATCATAGGTGTCTTCGAAATATTGCTCGTATATCCTGGGACCATCGAGTAAGTAACGCAGTTGTTAGAAAACGGGTACTAGGTAAGGATGGCAAATCAATTGATGACGTAGTGAAACTTCATCAGTTGAGATGGCTGGGACACGTGTTACGTATGCCCAACGACCGGCTGCCTCGATGTGCGATGTTTTGTTGTATAGGAGTAGGTTGGAAGAAAGCTAGGGGCGGCTAGACCAAAACATGGCACAAGTCCTTTTTTGGTATCTTGGTGGGGTATCCTTCTTTCCAGTCTGTCAGTAGCACTTGTTCTTCCCCTCCTCATATCTTTCCGAATAGAACGTGGAGCATGTCCGCAGTTACTTCTGTGTCTGACTTCAGTGCTTCAGGTGGTATATTGTCTGAACCTGCTGCTTTCTCACATTTGATTTGTCTGATGGCCATGCTAATTTCTTTGATCGTTGGTGGAGTTACATCTGTAGGAAGGTCTATAGGTGCTGCTTCGATATCCGATAGATTCAATGGAGCTGGTCTATTCAAGAGTTCGTCAAAGTGTTCTACCCATGGGTTCATCTGTTCGTAGATCTCAGTGAATGGCTTGCTTTCTCCCTTGTCCTTGAAAGTTCTCTCTGGTTTACCATATTTCCCTGCCAGTTTCTTCGTCGTGTCATGTAGTTGTTTCAAAGTTCCTTCTCTTGCGGCTTTTTCCGCCTTCGTTGCTAGTTCTTCCACGTATTTCTGCTTATCGGCTCTAATACTCTTCTTCACTTGCTTGTTTGCTTCTATGTACTCAGCTTGTGCTTGGACTTTCTCTGCTCATGTTCAGCTATTGTTAATTGTTGTCTTCTTGTTCTTCCATTCTTTGATCCTGTCCAGTGTTTCTATAGAGATCCATTCCTTATGATGGTGCTTCTTTAGGCCCAGAACCTCTTGACACGTTGAAGTTGATGCTTCTTT